TGTCACTGAGCCAAAGCAGATTCGCGGGTTTGCAAGAATTTCTAGGCCTTCTGATTTTGAAGAAATAAAACGATTCATATTATGATATTTATATGGACTGCAGTGTACGTAAAGCCCTAAACAATTTAAGGGTGTTTGCGGTGACCTAATTCTGGACGAATTCTGTAATAATGGTGATATGTCTGAATAGACATTATAAATGAAAACATTAAAATGCTGTGCTTTATTATTTATTATTCCTAATCTTTATCAATCAAGGTTTCCCAGTTTAAAAAATGCCGTAGTGATGAAAGTAAATTAAAAGTTTTACCTTAGTCAGTGTACATAAAAACTGCCGTAGTGAAAATTTTGACCCCTGAATTGGTAATAGGAAGAACAAATTTGTTAAAACTTATTGGTATAATGGTATTGTTTATTCCGACGTCAAAATGAACCACATAATTTTTTTTCACCTTAAATCTGAATTCTGCTTTCTGTCCGTCTCTAGAGGATAAAGTTATCATCCGATTGACTTCAGATTGATACAGAGTTTAACCCTTTCAGACTACAATTAACGTGACGTCATAATGCCCACGGAATCCATTTATTTTTGATAATCATATTTTAATTGACTGTTTTCTTATATTTGATCATTATGCAAATGCTTTTGATGGGAACTGACAAAAAGTATATATTTTCCTGAAGAAGAATGAATGGTGAATATTATGTTAGAAACATGAGTTCCCCCAAAACTATTATGCCTTTTCTTGTAACCATAGCAACATACATAAATTCTTGTGAATAATAACAAAAGTAAACCATTATTTAAATTCATTAATAAATTTCAAATATTTATTAATATTCAATAACATTTAAATAACAAAGATAAAAATAAAAATCATTATCAACAATAACAATAAAATTGGATATTTAGTGGTAAAATTTAAAATATCACAAAAATAGATATTTACAGATTTTATCATATTTAAATTTCTATACATAATACAGATACTGTATATATTTGAATTTTAGACAAACCAAGATAATATTTATAATTATTATAGAATGTATACAAGAAACCAATAATTCTGAATGTTCACTGTTTTGTTAAAACGAAAGTGTTACCATGGCAACCAATTGAAAATAATGCCTATTTGGGTTTTTCTAAAAAAGGACACTACATCATCTACAGTCTCAATATCATCATACTTATTCACTACATGTGAGGCGCAATAACCTAACAATGATAAAACAGCAATAATGACAATAAAATTAGATATTTGGTGGTAAAATTTAAAATATCACAAAAATAGAAATTTACAGATTTTGATCATATTTAGATTTCTATACATAGTACAGACACCGCAAAATATATGGAATTTTAGACAAACTAAGATAATATTTATAATTATTATAGAATGTATACAAGAAACCGACAATAACCTAACAATGATAAAACAGCAATAATGACAATAAAATTAGATATTTGGTGGTAAAATTTAAAATATCACAAAAATAGAAATTTACAGATTTTGATCATATTTAGATTTCTATACATAGTACAGACACCGCAAAATATATGGAATTTTAGACAAACTAAGATAATATTTATAATTATTATAGAATGTATACAAGAAACCGACAATACTGAATGTTTACTGTTTTGTTAAAACGAAAGTGTTACCATGGCAACCAATCGAAAACAATGCCTATTTTTTAAAAAAAGGAAAATACATCATCTACAGTCTCAATATAATCATAGCTATTCACTACATGTGAGGCACAGTAAGCTAACAACGATAAAATTAACAATCACGATCAACAATAACAATAAAATTATATATTTTGTGGTAAAATTTAAAATATCACAGAAAAAGATATTTACAGATTTTGATCATATTTAGATTTCTATAAACAGTACAGACACCGCATATATATATATATATAATTTGAGTCAGAGACAAACCAAGATAATACTCATCATTATTATACAGTGTGTATATATAAGAAAGCGATAATATTGAATGTGTTACCATGGCAACCAAATGGAAACAGTGCCTATTGAATGAAAAAGGACAATACATCATATATGCAGTTCGATATCATCATAATTAAGCTAACAATTTGACTTTTTTGTGTTTCCTAGCTGGTGCTGCATTTTCTTTATTTGGGTCCATGTAGGGAAAATTAACAGTATAATGATATCTGTGGAAACAGGGATATGGGCACATTCTTTTACCACACACACCACAACCATAAGTGGTTTCAACGCGGTTTGAATGGACAACACACCTACCCTGATTCTCATATTTATATGGAGCGTGTTCCAATGTTCTATCAAACCTTATTTCTGGTGGTAATGTAACAGATGGACGCCCTCGTTTCTTAGTGAATGTTCTGCCACCTATCAACCCATCAGCCAGTTGTAAGAAAAACTCATGTTGTGACAACTTTGACTGTGAATGAATTTTCTTATGTACAATAAAGGCTTGAACAGCAGAGAGTCTTAACAAATGCATAAACACTTGTATGTACCAAGTCAAAGATTTCATATGACGTCTATATGTAGCAACACGTTGATCAGATAAATCAACACCCCCCATATAAGAATTATAAGTGATAATAGCCCTAGGTTTGCTGATCGTAACTTATTTACCACCCTGTTTCTTGTCTCTTCTCTGTATATCAACATCATCAAGATTACCTACAAAATAAAATGATAAATGAATAAAATACAATTTTAGCTTATTCGTAATTGATGAAATTAATTTTCACTAATATATTTTCGAATTATTTGTTTCACTTATATTCAAAAGTTATTGACAAAGATGGAAGATCTACATACACTTCCGGGGGCTGCGGTAGCTTAGCGAGTACTGTGCTTACTCACTAACCAGGAGGTCGTAGGTTCGATCCCCGGTCTGGGAAAGAACATCCGGATTTTTCAATTCAGTGTCGGTGGCACAGACCTGAGGGGCTGAAATGCAATAGCACCTAGTAGTTTGGATGGGACAATAAACGAAGTCTTGTGTGCTGCATCAGGGCGCACTTTAGAGAACTCAGACAGTTTCCCTCATTGCACATGCCCGTCTCAATTAGCCAATACAAAACGTGCAAAAAAGTAGGACGTTAAACCCCTTTTTATTTCATTTCAACATACACACCCATTTTATATTCAATACCGCAGACACATTTGATTACCGTAACTGTATAATATAACATTTTTTTAATTTTTATTTTAAAAATATGCCTACCTGGGATATTTGTTAATAGATTGACAACTCTCGTGTCTTTCCAGCTTACAGCCAAAACATTGTTTGAGATTCTTTTCAAACTTTCACCTTTCTTTAGTTTTTTAGTTGCACTTTTTTTCATATCAGATGGAAGTCGTTTCCGGTTGCTGTTTACAGTGCCGCAGGATAAGGTTTTTACTTGAGATAGATATTCAATAAGTTCTATACTGGTATAATAATTATCCATAAATAAGTAGTGACCCTTGTTGAGAAAAGGCTGACAAACGTCAACAACGATTTGAGCTGTTTTAGATAATTGTGTGTCCTCTCTTTTTCCAGCATAGGGTATAATGTTTAGCACATATCCACTAGATGATTCTGCTAAAGTAAACAGTTTTATACCCCACTTTATAGGCTTATTCTTAATGTATTGTTTAATTCCAAGTCGTCCTTTGAACTTTAACATAGTTTCATCCACTGCAATTTCACGTTGGGGATTGTACACAAGTTGAAAACGTTTCACAACATAGTCTAATAGTGTTCTAATCTTCCAGAATTTATCTGACTTATTTACAGTTGTTGATGAATTGTCTACAAAATGAATACACGACAATATTTGAAGGAATCTTTTGCTGGTCATTGTCTGATTGAAACCAGGTGTTTGGATAAGCCAATGTTTTGACCAATAACTGGCAATACGACCCTTTTTTTGCACAATACCAGTAGCGATGACTAGACCTAGCCACGTTTTCAATTCGGGCACTGAAATATTTGTCCAATCTTTATGAATATGTCTGCCTTCTTGACATTGTTTAGCGTACCTGTTTGTTTCTACAACAATATCTCGCAAAATATAGTCAGTAAATAAAAGTTGGAATAAATTGACGGCTTCAAAATGTTCAACACCTTCGAGATCTTTATTTACTCCAACAAGGTGTTCAAAAACAAAACTAACATCGGGCAGCTCAGTCAATTTTTTGGTCCATTCACAATTCTTTACCGGCACTGCATTTTCATTAGGAGCTTCACCATCGTCATCATATTCATCCGAATCATCGTGTTCCAAATCAATTTCAACATCCACATCGCGGGCGAGACCGTCTAAATCACAGTCGCTTGAAGCAGACTCACTGACGCTGTCGTCGGAATTTAGTTCGAACGCACTGTCATCATCACTGGCACGCTCTATGTCACTGTCGTCGCTTTCCCAGAAACAGGGGTCCGCTAAAACAACATCCACTGTTCGCTTGGCCATTTCAATCGACAATTTCATAAAAACATGACAGGAAACGCGACGAATCGTCAGGGAAAACAACATTTAGAGTTATTTCCCTTCTATATTGACGGTCAAGGTGAAATTCCTGAATTTTAACCCTTTACACCTCATTGACGTAATATTAGGTCAAGTAGTCGGAAAGGTTGTAAATTATATGACGTAATATTACGTCAAGTAGTCGGAAAGGGTTAAGGTCTTGAGACGAACAATTTTTATAACTTGAACAGCTAAATCCATGATGTTAAAAGTTGAACTTTATAAAAACCAAACAAATTCTAATGGTTTTCTGATAATTACTTAATGAGTTGTTACTCTTAATCAGATTTTAATGTATTATAAATGTTTCATTACCGAAAAAAGTAAAAATATGCGACAACTCTTATTGACTGCCCGGACGATTTAGCTGCTGTGGGTGTATGTTTTGTTGCCTGGCAACCTATCTTTACTATTTATTTTATCCATTAAGAACTGGTTGTGATATCGGTCAATTGTTTTATTGTTTCTATTTTCAGGGCTCATCTTGTCCTTTTAACCATGATTTTCAACCTGAAAAAAGAAATGATGTGTGTAAATTCTATCTGACTTCAGCTTGTAATAGAGAGAACTGTTTATTTATGCACAATATCCTTTTGATAATTGGGAGCCACGATGGCTCAGTGAGTAGGGCGTTGGCTCGCTAATCTGGAGGTCGCTTGTTCGATCCGTGCATTGGCTGAGAAAGTTCATTGGAATTTTCGGATTGGTTTCCCCTTGTCGCTGGTGTAGGACGTTGGATGGAACAAAAAATCAAGATCACGTGTACAAATTGCTGTGCACGTAAAAGAACCACTGACAGTTAGAATTCGAATTAAGAGCAGGCCACTGTGCCGCTGTCTAGACAAATTAATAACAGTAGTCTTCAGCAATACAGTAACACTCATATTTAATGTGCACCTATCTTAAAGCTGATTAATGTAATGCAGGATATATTAATATTTTTAAAAACCGAATAGTGTAAATTTTGTGTGATATGAAGTGTTAAATGTATCTTTCTGTATATATTTAAACAGGGGGGTTGGATGGCTGAATGGTTAGCGTGTGCCCGCTGTATCATAAAGTCTGTCATTGAGTCGACTGACGTGGTTTCGAATCCCCGGTTGTATGTGACAAGGAGTAGGGTCGCCTGTCCAACTTTGTGGGTTTTCCCCGGGTCCTCCGGTTTCCTCCCACTGCTAAAGACCCCTACGCGCAAGCGAATTATTGAAATAAAATTAAAACCATATGTTAGTCCCGAAATGACCTAGTTTGTGTCGAGTGGACGTTAAACCCCATTTCTCTCTCTCTTTAAACATTTGTGGCTCAGTGACTTAAGACGTTACCACACTAAACTGGGAATCCCATGATCGATCCCAGTGTTGGCTGACTAAGTTTATCAGGTTTTTCCAGTGTGATGTCCCCTTTTTATACGCTCACATTGAAATGTGGTCGTATATTGTCGTCCCCACCCCCTATTGTTTTTCAGCGATTTCTGATAATTACTGCCAGAGTTATGGCCCTTGATCAATTTGAAAAATCTTGTGGAGGCTCTAGAGGTTAAAGTTAATGTCCGATTGACTTTAAATTTATACACAGTGTTGAAAGTCATGAGATGAAGAGGCCTATTGATTTTGAGCAATTTCCGATGATTACTGCCTGAGTTATGGCCCTTGATCACTTCAAAATATCTTGTGGACGCTCTAGAGGCCAAAGTTAATATCTGATTGACTGTAAATTGATACCCAGTGTTTAAGGTCATGAGACGAAGAATCCTATTGATTTTCAGCAATTTCCAATAATTACTGTCAGAGTTATGGCCCTTGATCACTTCAAAAACTCTAGTGGATGCTCTAGAGGCTAAATATAATAGACGATTGACTTTAAATTTATACGCATTGTTTGAGGTCATGAGACGAAGAATCATATTGATTTTCAATGATTTCCGATAATTACTGCCAAAGTTATGGCCCTTGATCACTTTGAAAAATCTTGAGTATCCACTGATAAGTTCATAGCTGTCAACAGTTGTATGCCGTCTGACTTGCCATGTTATTTTGCATATTTCAGATATTTTTATATATATTTAGCCAGGTGTGCCACTATTTCTTCATGTGTTCCAAGGTGTGCCGTTGGCAAAAATAGCTTGAGAACCACTGCTCTAGAGGCTAAAGTTATCATCCAATTGACTTCAATTTGATACACGGAGTTCAAGGTCTTGAGACAAACAAGTATATTGATTTTCAATGAATTTTGATAACTTGAACAGCTAAATCCATGATATTAAATGTATCATATACTAAACGTTACCATGGGGCAGAACTTTATAAAAACCAAACAAATTCTAATGATTTTCTGATAATTACTTAATTATTTTAGTGTATTATAAATGTTTCATTACTGAAAAAAGTAAAAATATGCGACAACTTATGTTGACTGCCCGGACAGTTTAGCTGTTGTGGGCGTATGTTTCGTTGCCTGGCAACCTATCTTTATCTAGGTTATGTGGTGGAACCTTATTAAAGTTAAGAATATCTCAATTATAAACCATTAACTTAAGTAATATATTCTTATGTATTTCACCCTGATCTAATATATTTTGTTTCCTTAATTAATGTTCATGTGAATTTCCGTGTAAGTATTTTCATGCTGGTAAAGGATGTTATGCCGGAGTTGATTGTAAATTTTCACATGAGTCATTAACTGAAGAAACTCAGATTTATTTTGATAGAGTAAGTTCATTTGAATATTAGTTCAGTGCGTAAGGTGCTAAACTGGAAGTCCTGGGTTCGATCCTGGTGTTGGCTGAGAAAATTCCTCTTGATTTTCTGGCATGGTTTCCCCCTTTGCTGGTGGTGCAGGACGGGAGTGCCTGGCAAGGAATTGTGTCTTGTGGTTTTGATGGTATGCAAAACCGATTTCCCTTCTTTTATTAGTCCAGATGGAGCAGAAGTGTAGGATGTCTAACCTCATTTCATTTTTATACACCCACATTTTCATGTGGACGTATATATTGTCGTCGTCCATGTCCGTCCGGCAAATTTTGTTTGGGGAAACCCTACAGGTCACAATTTTGATGAAACTTGAATTTTGAAATATAGGTTTATCTCCCAAAGATTTGGGTTCCTTTCGATATTAACATTTATCAATTTGTAACTTACTTCATGGATTATGGCCCCTTAATTATACCCAAATCACGTTTTTAGCTAGTGGACAATCTAGACGGCGCAATTTTTATACGCCCAAAAATCTCAGTCCCTTTTGATAGTTGCACATTTCAGACCATAACTTAATGGATTATGGCTCCTGAATGTACCCAAAATCATGTTATTAGCTAGTGGACACTCTAGAGGTGACAACTTTTCTACGCCCAAATTTTTTTGTGGATGTATATTAGACCGGACGCTCAACGTGAGGGGGGTGTCCATCAAATGGGCACAAAACCAGACCCAACTTTTCTAGAGTAAAATTTTGCGTAGAATACGATGCCGAGTGGTAATCAGTCCGGGATCACAGACTATATAGTTGTCGCCCCTGTCTATCCGGAGTTCCGCCCACAATTTGTTTGTGGACACTCTACAGGCCACAATTTTTATCCAATTTTGAGGAAACTTGAAATATAGGTCTATCTCCCAAAGATCTTGGTTATTTTCGAAATTGGCATTATGGCCCTTGGTTGTACAAAATACATGATTTTAGTTTGTGGACACTCTAGAGGTAAATATTTTTATCCTGTTTTGATGAAACTTATATTTATATTAAAATGTACGTTTTTATAAACCAAAGATTTCGGTTCCTTTTGGTACTGGTGCATATTGGACCGTAACTTTATAGGTTATGGCACCTGATAGTACGAAAAAATCATGTTTTTTGCTTGTGGATCCTAGAAGTCACAATTTTTATCCAATTTAAAAACAAACTTTGAATATATCACCGTTACACCATGATGTGGGTTGAGTTCGAATTTTGTGCAAATCGGACCAAAACTGTAGAATAAAATGGCTTTCCCTCTTATGCAAAAACTGTAAAAATATGGTATAACAATTTTTATCCGATTTTGATGAAACTTTAAATGTATGTTTATAACCCAAAACTCTTGGTTACTTTAGATATTCGTGCATATCGGACCGTAACTTCCTGGATAACAGCCCCTGATTGTACGAAAAATCAAGTTTTTATGCGCCCACATTTTCATGTGGACGTATATTGTCGCCCCTGTCCGTCCGTCAACTATTGTTTGTGGACACTCTTCAGGTCTCAATTTTTATCTGATTTGAACGAAACTTGAAATTATAGGTTTATCTCCCTAAGATCTTGGTTCCTTTCGATATTGGCATGTATCAGACAGTAACTTCATGGATTATGGGTCCTGATAGTATGAAAAATCGCGTTTTTAGCTTGTGGACCTTATAGAGGTCACAATTTTTATCTAATTTTGTTGAAATTTGAAATGTAAGTTTATAACCCAAAGATTTGGTTTCTTTTGCTATTTACGCATTTTGATCCGATTTTGATGAAACTTGAAATGCATGCTTATAACCCAAAGATCTTGGTTCCTGTCGATATTTGCGCATATTGGATCGTAATTTCCTGAATCGTGGCCCTTGATTCTACGAAAAATCACGTTTTTAGCTTGTGGTCCCTCTAGAGGTCACAATTATTATCCAATTTAAAAAAAAAACATGTGAATATATCACTGTTACACCGTAATGCTTGTTGAGTTCGAATTTCGTGAAAATCGGACCAAAACTGTCTGACAAAATGACCACCTCTCATACGCAAATAGTGTAAACATCTCGTATATCTAGGTTGTGGACCCTCTAGAGGTCACATTATTTTGATACGATTTTGATATTTGCGCATATCGGATCGTAACTTCCTGAATTATGGCCCTTGATTGTACAAAATTTAGAGGTCACAATTTTAATCTGATTTAAAAACATGTGAATATATCACCGTTACACACAAAAATCTTGGTTCCTTTTGATAATCGTATGTAACTTCCTGGATTATGGCCCCTGATTGTTCGAAAAATCGCATTTTTAGGTTGTGGATTCTCTAGAGGTCACAATTGTTTTTCCGATTTTAAAAAACGTTTAAATATATCACCATTCCACCATAATGAAGGTTGAATTCAAATTTCTGGAAAATTGAAATGAAACTGCCCAACAAAATGGCTGCTCTTTGTACGCCAATTGTGTAAAGTATGATTTCAAATGTGCAAGCAAAACTAGGATTCTGAAGAAATTCAAGGGGCAATTTTTCTATAATGAAAATACTTTTACTATCTTTGGATTACATGTACAAGCTGTGTTATACATTGGAGTGTACACATATTCCTTACAATTTCATTAAAAAGCTAATGGCTAATAAAACACAAGAATGAACACACAAAACTGCCCTCAACACTAGAGCTGGGCGACATCCCTGAAAACATTGCGATATAATCACTTTATTGCGATATTTTATGAAATGTCAATACTTTCATTGAGTTTATCAGGGTTTTTTTAAATGTAAATAAATATGCATAAAAAGTTGGAAATACCCCTGGAGTATTCACTTGACACTTTTTTGTCAATATTATTATTTCTAGTCAATATTATTTTTAGCATACAGTACTGAATTTACAAACAAAATTTACAAACTTGCAAAAGTTGTCGTTTATTACAGTTTTAATTTTCAAAATATTAATTATAATATTTTATTTAAATTAAAAATATTTACATATGACGGAGGCACAAAAAAACATAAAAAAAATTTTGTGTTCTTTCGTCCGTGCATATTTATTTTTATAGCTACCCTTGAAAACTTGTTTTTTCTCAATCGAGCGTATACCGTCTTGAAGATGCATTATATAATACAAGGATAGTAAATTAAACTATAAAACATAAGTATGTCAAAAAGTGCCCACTGATTTAGTCAAATAGCAATTTTTCGGATCACAGACTGCACACGTCCGACGCTGAATGATAATCAGTCTATCGGAACTCTAAAAATATATAGTTGGCAATGTTGGCAGTATTTATATTTCTGTATTATTAAAATCTATTTCAATCTGAAAATCAATGATTCCTTTGGAAAATCAAAGTATAGGTATAAACAATTGACAAGAAACAGGGATAATGCTAACGGGTGGAAAAGTGAGCTTGTTGAATGAATACTTGGGAGTTTATAACAGTATTTATTCATCATTAATTAATAGATGAGACAAGCCGGTATTATAATGAAACTAACTCAGACATAATACCTAATGGACGATAATTAGGTTTTTGATCATGTCAGTTATATCAAGCTGTTTAAAGTGTTGAAATGAAGGGGTTTGTGCCAGGGATCTTAATCGGCTGTTTTTTGTCGGTTGTAGCTCCTTGAATTTCAATCAAGACGATTGGTAAAACAATGAACCGGCCACTATGGTATCATAAATCAATCTACTTTCAGCTGAATTACAACGGTTTAATTACTTGTTAATTAAGTAGTTAATCAACTTGCTTGTCAGCTACAATGACAGTCATACCTTAGTGAAACTCGGCCATGTAGTTCATAATCCGAGTAATTAGCACAAGTAACTGTAATTTTGATAATCGGTCGGTAAAAAAACAAGCTTACTGATTATTCATAACTGGTCCAGAAAAATGCCCTTGAGGAAATAAGCCATGGATTGGGCATGGATTGTGCATCTATCGCGCGCCTTCAACACTACATACAAATTCCAGGTATTGTCGTTATTATCATTGAAAGCTATATGGCACAGTTGTATGGAATTTGATTTTAAAGCCATTTCAATTATGGCTGTCACGTGATCACAGTGCCATGTGTCTATCATGGATGAATGAATAAAAACATTTGCAAGTTATGTGATAGAAAAAAACCTACAAATTGACTTATGAAGAAATATGACGGTGCCGTATCAGCTTATATCTAACGAAAAAAAACCGAATGTATAATACAGTAATTTATTCAGGAATATTACTGACATGAATTTCATGCCGGTACATGAATTAAATATGGAAAATTTTGCAAACGGTGTACCTATTTGTCATTATTTTTGTGCTAATTACATACAGTACAATAGTATATTCCTCATGACAAAATACCAAAAATTATTTTTATTGAAGTCTGGTTATATTAAAGGGAATGGAAGCTTAAAATTTTAAAAACCAGTACTTACCAGGACCTCATTTGGCCCAATTCTGGCCGATTTGTTTCAAAATGGATTAAGAACCCTGGTTTGTGCCCTCTCACAATTAGAATTCTTATTTGCATGTATGTAAACCAGGAAATTGTAATAATAATTATGCAACTAATACTTTTAATATAACTAATAAAGTAAAACAGGGAGCAATTTGTTGCCTATGCTATTCACTGTTTATTTAGATGAATTGCTCACCCGATACAAAAATAGCCAATTTGGATGTTTGATCGGCAATGTATATGTTGGAGCTATTGCGTATGCTGACGATGTCACTTTGTGGCTCCATGCAGACAGTATCTGATCATGCTGCTATCCATAGCAAATGACTACCCTAAAGAGTACAGTTTAAAATTTAACGCTGATAAGAGTAATACTCCATGTTGTAAATCATAAGATAATATTGAGAAATGTAAATTTTAATTTTGATGAAAGTTAAAATATATGTTTATGTCCCAAAGACCTGGGTTCCTTTCGCGCTTTTGGCTTCTGGACCCACTAAAGGTTTAAATTTTTATCCGATTTTTGATGAAACTTAAAATATATGGTTATATTCCAATGATCTTGGTTCCTTTTGATATTGTCGCGTGTTGGACCGTAACATTGTTGATTATGGCCCTTGATTATACAAAAAAAATCGCTTTTGATACGCCCACATAAACACATACGCCCACGTATAATGCGCATGCGCGAGTTAGCTGGTACCTTCAAACGGTATTGTGAGTGTGTGAGTGTTTTTTTCAATAATGATATATTTATAAATAATGAATGTAATAGATTTTTGATGTAATGTCTGTGTGTGATCACCAGGACCATTTTGATGTGAAATAGTATTGCTTTTGTATTTAGACTTATCTGTCATGGAGAATGTTTACATTGTGTCGATCAGCTGTGAACTTTCAAAAATTCAAAATGGTTACCCCCGATGAGCCTGTCGTTAGCAACCTTTATTGACAAATTGTTTTATCTCTGCAACTATTATTGTAAGCGCCTTAGTGGCTGACTGTGCCTTGCTGTGCTCTGTGTTTTTTGTGCCTGTGTTTTATTGTGGATTAATGTGGATTTCGACATACAAATATATAATGCGCAGGCGTGGTAAAGCCGTTACTTTCAAATAATTGTAAAACAATTTTAGATGTTATAATTTGTTGATAAATTATGCGATAGATTTCAGTTCTATTGTTGTACATGTGGAACATTTTGATGCGAAGTAGTGTTTGCTGTTTAAATGTAACTATTGCGAAGAAACATTCATTTATCGCCTTTTCATTAAAATTTAGGCCTAATTTTAGGAAGCCTAGGTTGAAGACATTATGTAAGCGCCTTGTGTATCTGTTCTGCCGTGTGGTTTTGTTTAAAATAGTAACTCGGAATGCAGCATTCGATCAAAATGTTTCAAACTAATTTGAATCTTTTGGTCTTGGAAGGAATTATTAGTGAGCAGAAATTCGGCCGTGTATCTGTTATCACTTGTCACATCAGTCAGTTATATAGAGGTATGACTCATGTTTTCCTTTGGCGTTTGTCACTTCCAATTCAGGAAACCTGTATTACTCAGCTATCGTAGCAATGATCTCCTTGTTAAAATTATATTTGGAACTTGTTTAATTAGTTCTATCACATATGTGATAATAACTGACACCAATATTGTTGTCGCAGTTGTTGTTTTTTGTATTTTAGAGAGAAGCTGAAAAAAGCTCCCCTTAATGAACAAATTGAAAAAATCGTTCCCCTAAAAAAGCTCTCCCAGTTTCGATAAGAAGAGTGATTAGAAATTAAGGAGAATGATCTGATATTAAGGAAGGAGATTAGTTGTTTGTATGGGAAATGGTTAATCTGAAGATCAATAACTGCGTGTAAGGGGCCATTCTTGGTTACATAATTTATAAATGATAATAAACATCAACTGCTAAATAATAGCACTCGTAGTCGTACTGTCAAGTCAAACTTCTACTGCGGTACGGTATTCCAATAGAAATACTTGTCGACATTTCTAAATATATATAGCTTATAATTATGAATTTTGTTTAAAAACATAACCCCTATTCAAAATATAATCATAAATGCTTGAAAATTCCATCAAAATACAATCTATTTCTTCCGGAATTATTCTCATTGGAAATTTTCACGTGCCACCTTTTGTAATTTCTCACGTCTCGCGAGAGTTTTACTTTTCATTTCAGTTAAATTAAACAATGGTGCATAGGCACCATCTATTTTTAGCAACATATGCATCAGAATTTTATTACCTTGTGCGATCACATTATACTAATCGAATACACCAAATAAATTTTCACAATATGACAATGACAGCATGGTGGCGCTCGGAATGTGAGTCTTTCACACTCTTTTGAAAAAAACCCCAAATACATGTCCATGATTTACAAATATGGAGAGCGATTTTCAATTTTAAGACGATAGAGAAAAACCTCCCCTCGGTCGACTTTCGGGTGCGCGACAAGCGTTCGAGAGCGATCACGGATCAAAAAACATTGACTGTCGTCGCCCCTGTTTGTCCGTCTGTCCACCATCCACAATTGCTTGTGGACACTCTAGAGGCTAAAGTTAATACCCGATTAACTTTAAATTTATATATACAGCGTTTAAGGTCACGAGACAAGTCTATTGATTTCCAATAATTACTGCCAGAGTTATGGCCCTTGATCACTTTGAAAAAGTGTTTAAGGTCATCAGATAAAGAATCCTATTGATTTTCAACGATTTCTGATAATTATTGCCAGAGTTATTGCCCTTGATTACTTTAAAAATCTTGTGGATAACATGAACAGCTAAATCCATGGATATTAAATGTTACGTATACTAACGTTAGCATGGGCCGAACAAATTCTAATGATTTTCTAATAATTACATAAAGATACATTATGGGAGATTGGATAAAGAGCTGGCAGTTCTCACTATAATAGTTAAAAACTAGATAATGTAAAGGCAATTTGCTGAAAATTTCAAATTGATCCACTCTGAACCAAGATTTTAGCGATTGAACTTTGAGTCTAGCCTCAATCATCATTACTAAAGTTGGTACGAAAAATATAGTCTTGATTATCTATTTTTTGATGTAATTGTCAATGAATGCTAAGCAGCAGATAGGATTCTAATTCAGAAAACATTGAGAGTTGATTATGGTCTGCATAAGTTAAGTAATGTCTAATTAATAATTTAGATAACATTTCAGGCCTAAGGAAAGACCTGCAATTGGCAGATTTAGCTCTTGCATAATTTATTTTTATTGAGTTGTTACTCTTAATCAGATTTTAGTGTATTATAAATGTTTCATTACTGTCAAAAAGTAAAAATATGCGCCAACTCATCTTGACTGCCCGGATGATTTAGCTGCTGTGGGCGTATGTTTCGTTGTCTAGCAACCTATATTTTAGCTTGTTCTCTATCCATCTCTTGCAAAATGTGGGTGTATCTTGAATGGCAACTGCTTGTTTAGATTGTTCTTCGTCCATCTCTTGCAAAATGTGGGCATATCTTGCATGGCAACCAATTGGATTTGATGATGATTAAGTTTATACTAAGTTAAAAACAAAACAAAAAGGCGAGATCAATTGTAAGATCAAAACAGAGTTGTGGATATGAATTTATTTTGGTTATTTGAATTTGAGAGGCTTATGTATGGACAAAACAGATTTGAACAACATGCTATTTTTGCTATGAGTTCATACACAAAGCTAATGGAACACTGCAACTCTTTTTTTTTTCATATAGACTGTTTTTCTTTCATTCTAGATGATGGAAGAAGAGATGATACAAAGAAAACCAAGTTTATTAGGTAGAATAGATTTTAAATTATTTTTATATGACCACATTTCAATATGGGTGTCTTAGGTCATAACCTTGTTAAAGATACATTATGGGAGATAAGATAAAGAGATGGCAGTTCTCGCTATAATAGTTAAAAACTAGATAGTGTAAAGGTAATTTGCTGAAAATTTCAGTCAAATTGATCCACTATGAGCCGAGAAAGAAGCGGGTGAAATTTTTGCATAGTCTCGGTCATCATTACTAAAATCATTAATATAAACAGCATAGTCTTGATTATCCACTTTTTCTGATTTAATTATCAACGGCCGTTAGTGGCATATAGGAATCTAATCCAGCCAACATCGAAGGCTAGCCTTGACATCGAGAGTTTATTATGGTCTGGAAAAGTTAATGTCTAATTGATAATTTAGATAACATTTCAGGCCTAAAGAAAGACTTGTAATAAGCAGATTTTGCTCTTGCATAATGCATGTTTAACTGTTGGCTTGTGAATGTGATTGTTGCGAAGTATTGGGGACATAAGGAGAAACTGTATCGATATTCAACATTTCGTGAAAATCGGGCCAAAACTGCTGGACAAAATGACCGCCCCTCATTGCAAATAGTGTAAACATTTGGTAAATCAAGGTTGTGGACCCTCTAGTGGTCACAATTTTGATCCGATTTTGATGAAAGTTGAAATACATGTTTATAAGCCAAAGATCTTGGTTCCTTTCGATATTCGCGCGTATCGGATTGTATCTTCCTGAATTATGGCCCTTGAATGTACAAAAAAATCGCCTTTTAGGCTTGTGGTCCCTCTAGAGGTCACAATTATTATTTGATTTAAAAAAATGTTCGAATATATCACCGTTACACCATAATGTTTGTTGACGTCGAATTTCGTGAAAATCGGGCCAAAACTGCTGGACAAAATGACCGCCCCTCGTACGCAAATTGTGTAAACATCTGGTAAATCAAGATTGTGGACCCTCTAGAGGTCATAATTTTGATCCGATTTTGATGAAAGTTGAAATACATGTTTATAAGCCAAAGATCTTGGTTCTTTTCGATATTCGCGTGTATCGGATTGTATCTTCCTGAATTATGGCCCTTGAATGTACAAAAAATCGCGTTTTTAGCTTGTGGTCCCTCTGAGGTCACAATTATTATTTAATTTAAAACAATGTTCGAATATATCACCGTTACACGTAACTTCCTGGATTATGGCTCTTGATTGTTCGAAAAATCGCATATTTTTTTTCCCATTTTAAAAACCATTTAAATATATCACCATTTCACCATAATGAAGGTTGAATTCGAATTTCGGGAAAATCGAAATGAAACTGCCAGACAAAATGGCCGCACTTTGTACGCAAATTGTGTAAAAGTATGCTACAAAGGTTGTGGACCCTCTATATCCCAAAGATCTCAGTCCCTTTTGATATTTGGGCATTTCAGACCATAACTTTCTGGATTATTGCCCCTGATTGTACAAAAAATCCTGTTTGTTTTTAGCTTGTTCTCTATCCATCTCTTGCAAAATGTGGGCGTATCCTGTCTGGCAGCCGCTGGTTTTTTCGAGACAATGCTGCTGTGTGGGTATATTTTTAGAACTTGATGAGTCTATAATCTATAACAACTTAAAACTGTCAAGTTGCCGTTGTCATTGATTTGTTTTATCTTGAAGGTTCCCCACCGCAGCATGTGATAGACGAAGCTGAAAGAATGAAGGAAAGGATTGAACATGTTAAAAAGATTCCATCTATTTTTGAAATTGAAACATTTCCCCCCGGTCACAGTCCCAGAAAATCTCCACAGAAAAATATTTCTCCTATAAGGTAAGACTTAAAGAGAACATCAAGTGACAAAATAGAATTTTCTGTACTTGTAGCCAGTGGTTACTATATGCACTTTACGGCAAGTTCACACCAATCTGATTAAAATTAAATCAGCCATCTTCACTCAAAGTTGCAAATATAGACTACCGTAAAAAGACTTTGCCAATTATCGAAAACACTCTTAATCCCTGTAGACACCAATGACGTCACAGTGACTGAATGCATATTCAGAATGTTTTCATTCCTCATATACAGCCGGGGTATGTATTCATTAACGCCTGACTAATTCCTTAATCGCCTTTTTTTACGCCAACATGCAAATGTGGACATATATTGCCTTCACCCCTGTCCGTGCGTCTGTCGATAGGTCCGTCAGTCGTCCACAAAGCCAAAAGTTATTATCTGATTTTTTTAAAATTGCCTTTACATTATCTAGTTATCTGTGTATCTTTAAAGGGCCAATCCTGATAATATTTTGGAGAATAAAACTGCTTAATTTTGTGTTAAAATCCATTAAAATCCTCTACATTAGTGCCGAGCAACTAACTCAATATATGTGATACGTTTTCAAACAACTTAAACCCGTCAGTCTTCATCTGGAAATGGAGACCGGTGTCCAAAGCTGTATTATGCGGTGTCTGGATAAAACCATACGTTTATTTTATAAAAATAATGCGTCGGTGAAATTTACCTTTGTTATCAAGTATAGCCCATGGGTCATTCACTGTATAAACCCCAAAAGGAACAGGAATAGATTATCAGGTCACCCATCGAAAAAATTGACCCGAAATCTTAAAAGGGTTACGTGTCAGGATAAGCAGTTTTGACGTTCGCGTCCAAACAACTCAGTATTTTGAGCTAAAATTTTGAGACAAGGTAAATACACCATTCCTCTATACTTTGGCGTTTAAATTTCATACATACTCAGACTTTTATTTTTGAGACTCTGTTCAAATTGGGAAAGTCCCTTTAAGTGAGAGTTCTGAAATTTGGTACATAGTTGTATTACATCAATACATTGACAAAGTTCGATAGTGAGCATTTTCTGCTCAGGGTAAGCAGAGCGATAAGCAATTTGATTAGTCAAGACTTTGGAACACGATAACTCTCATTCTAATTGAGCTACAATGTTCACACTTGGCGTAGGTGTTTCTTAGATGAATGTCTTGATGGAGTTCGAAGATGAGAATTTTCTGCTTAGGGTAAGCAGAGATAAGCAATTTGATTGGCTGATGCTTTGGGACATGATTACGTTAGTTCTAATTAAGAGAGAGTGAGGACACTTGTTGTATAGTTTTATCACATCAATAACTTGACTAAGTTCGATAATGAGCATTTTCTGCTCAGGGTACGCGGAGCAATAAGCAATTTGATTGGTCGATACTTTGGATATCTCTTCTTCTAATTGAGGTAGAATGTTTAAATGTTCATTAGATAAATGTCTTGACTGAGTTCAATGATTAACATTTCGAGCTAAAGCTAAGCAGAGCGAAGCAATTTCATTGGTCGATGCTTTGGGACAAGATAAATTTGATTCTATCTGATAGAGAGTGATGAAACTTAGTGTATAGTTGATAATCAGTTTGATTGCTTGATACTTTTGAAAAAAATAAATGTGTCATCTATTTATTTTGGAATTTCGGCGGGGACATCAGCCTCACTGTTGGCTTGTTTAAATTAGTAAAACGAAAAAGCCCGTCAAATTTCAACAATTTATATAAATTACTTCCAGAATTAGGCCCTTGTTTCAGTTTGTAGAACCTTGTGAACCCTCAAACGAGGAAACTTATAATCTGATCTGTATGAAATTGTCTTGTAAATTCCCCCAATTACCTACAAAAGAATAAATATGTGACAACCCTTGTTGACCGCTCGGGCGATTTATCTTCAATGGGCATATTTTTCATTGCCTGGTAAGTGGCAACCTATCTTTAAACAAAAAAATTGACTACGGAATAATTTGTTTTGTAATTTATTTTCATTTAAGATCCAATTAATCTATGTGATTAACCCTTGATTTCTCCATTGTGGGACGTTTCAATCTCCTTGATGTTGGCCGACAACACGTAGGAATTAGTCATATATGTCATGTATCCTAATAGTATATAAAACCCCAAATCAATACATTGTATCCGATTGTTTTCTCTCTAGTAGATTGGGTGGAGCTTAACCGTGCAATAATTTGCACTCTTTTGCTGGTTTACACTAGTTTTAGTAGAAATCATATAGAGAAGTGGGGTGGGTTTTCTGTGCAATAATAACAAGTATGTTGAGCAGGTGTCAATGTTAGAAGTCATTTATAGCACGCTTTATTCATTAACACTATTAACAGGTTCGTTCTCAAATAGCGTAAAAATATGGTATATCAAGGTTGTGGACCCTCTAGAGGTCACAATTTTCTTCTGATTTTGATGAAACTTGAAATGTAAGTTTATAACCCAAAGATCTTGGTTCCTTTCGATATTTGCGCATATCGGATAGTAACTTCCAGAATTATGGCCCCTGATTGTACGAAAAAACACGTTTTTAGCTTGAGGTCCCTCTAGAGGTCACAATTTTTATCTGATTTAAAAAAAATGTATGAATAATCGCGGATACCTGAACTTAACTTCCTGGATTATGGCCCCTGATTGTTCGAAAAATGGCATTTTTAGCTTGCGGATTCTCTAGAGGTCACAATTTTTTTTTCCGATTTTAAAAACCGTTTAAATATTTCACGATTCCACCATAATGAAGGTCGAATTTGAATTTTGGGAAAATCGAAATGAAACTGCCCAACAAAATGGCCGCTCTTTGTACGCAAATTGTGTAAAACTATGCATTACGAAGGTTGTCGACCCTCTAGTGGTCACAATTTTTATCCGATTCTGATGAAACTTAAAAATTTGTATCCCAATGATTTCAGTCCATAACTCTCTGATTTATTGCCCCTGATTGTACAAAAATCCTGTTTGTTTTTAGTTTGTTCTCTATCCATCTCTTGCAAAATGTGGCTTATCCTGTCTGGCAGCCGCTGGTTAACAATTGACAAATGATAATTGGTTTATGCATCAGTGTGATACAAAACAAAGTTCTCATTGAACCTATTTGAACTTAGTGAGATTTTTCTTTGTTCTTCAAAATGCTTCATAGAGGCGTTTTTGCATTCACATTTTTATTTTTAAAGCTTAGTACATAGTTTGTAGTACAAAAAATTAAAACCTGCTCTGGGGGCCTTTTTGACAGTGATTTTTAGATTTTTGCTGCTGGTGGGTGTGTGTGGAGTCGACTTTCCCCCCAATCCATGTTTTGTAGTATAATGTATGTTTTTTTTTTTCAGGCCACCTGGTCCAGGGTTTTATAATGAAACTGGTCCACCATTACTTCCCCAGGGACATCCACCCATGAACAACCAGGGACCTATACAAGGTCCGCCGATGAACAATTTAGGATCACATATGAACAATATGGGACCACCGTTGAACAGTCCACCAATGAATAACCTAGGTCCTCCAATAAATAATTTAGGTCCATCTGTGACCAATCTCCGACCTCCTATGAGTATTCGCCCACCGTTTCCAGGAGGCCAGGAAATACCTCCAAATCAAGCAGGAGCTCAAGGTTCTGTGCTCAACATGATTGGTGCAATATTACGGACTGCAGCACCTCTGATTGTGAATCAAATATCTGGACAGCCACCCAATAATTATTCAGGACCGAGGGATAGTGATTATGGACAAAGAGATAACGATTATGGACAAGGGGGTAGTGATTATGGACAGAGGGATAGTGATTATGGACAGAGGGATAGTGATTATGGACAGAGGGATAGTGATTATGGACAGAGGGATAGTGATTATGGACAGAGGGATAGTGATTATGGACAGAGGGATAACGAGTATGGACAGAGGGATAGTGGTTTTGGACACAATAATAATGAACAATCCATGACAGAAAATGATCAAAATTATCCGACTGATGTGATGGGTACCAAACCTACATTTTATGGACAGAGTCAGGCTGTGTTAGATATGGACAAACCCAAACTTGAAAACAGTATGAACAAATTATATGAATCCAAAGATGTTTTATCTGAAAAAATGAGCAATTTTCAAGATGAAAAAGATTCTAAGGTGGCGCCCAATAAAGTACATCTTGATCCACGTAGTGCTAGAGCACAACTTGCAGCTCGACCTTTAGAGACGGAACCACCTTTAGTTTCATCTGCACCTTTATGTTCGGAGGATGCCCATCCAAAATCTCATCTAGATGGTGATGAGGGCAGTACATTTATGCAACAAAAAGATGACTTTCCTACTCCCAAACTGGATATGGACTTTGGACCAAAGTTTGAATTTAGTAGTTTGAAAGGTAATTTATTACAACATTTTATTTACAACATAATCTCATTTTATCAACATCAGATTCAGAGTGAGTACAAATTTTCAATAGATTACACATGTAACTTTATTTAAATAGAATTGCTGTATTTTGTAGATGATAATTGGTATTCAAGTGATGAAGAAGAAACAGGTGATGATGAAAAGCTCTGTATTGTACAGCAGGTAAAGTTGTTAAACTTGTTTGTTTTCATGAAATATTTGTATCTTTTAGCAATTAAATTACATATCACTCAATGATTTAAACTTATTTTACAAGAATAGTAGCATCCATTTTTTAGATTATAAAAACAGTTCAGTCTGTTGGATTTCAACAATTTTCTGTTCTTTGTTTTGATTTATTGCAATGAATATCAATTACAGCAATTCCTAATAATTTCTTATGTGATAATTGCCCTTGATTTATGATTATGCCATATAATCTAGACAACATATGTGAGCATATTATTATGTTCAGTTGCATGGCAACCCAGATTTGTACATTTGTGTATTCAAGAAATCCGGCTCAATTTGAAGCTCTCTAAAATTGTGTGTATTGTACTTTTCAGCTACCTGTATCTAGTTCAGTTCCATCATTAAATAAAAGTTCTACTATTGATATTATGGAGATGATATCAAATGTTAGAAATGATAAATCACTACTTAGTTCATCTTCATCACTAGAATCAAAGTAAGTACCATCTATCAGACAAATAGTAAAAGGTAAACTATGTCATTCACGACATGTTTGATATCCTTATTGTAAAGAGAATCCAGATATTGTATTCTCAAACATTGATGTTTAGGTTTGCATAACAGGGTAGGGCTGATCTAAAGAGCAAGATGGAGTAACCTTCTATTTTGCTTTTATGGAAGTTCTGTGGATATAGATACTGCATATCAATCCTAATTGTTTCAATAATGAGTATTTGTCAACTATAATCTGGCCAGGAAAGATCATGGTCCTGTGGGTAGCACATTAACACGCAATTGAACTAAAAATAAGAGTAGACCATAGAACTGAATAAACCTAATTAAATTGGCAATGTTTAATTGTGATTTCTCTTTTATAGAAAACCTGAAGTTAGACCATCATTTTATTCTCCATCCATGACTTTGTCTCAGTCGTACAATGTCAAACCTCAAGTTGAGGTGAGTGTTCCGGTCACACACTGTGTTCTGAAGAATATGTTATATCGAATCAAAACTTTTACCTTTTCGAGTCAAGATAAACCTTACGATAAATTACCAGTTGATGTGAATCCTGTAGACAGTAGGTATCAAAGTGATCCGCGGGTTCAAAAATACAGTCAAAGATTAGCACGAAAAACTCTAATGCAACCTAAATTATTGGCGCCGGAGAAAAAGGTGGATCGTGTGCAATTACCCGATTTAAACATAAATTCTGATGGAACAATTAATGCACCAAAGCCTCGTGCTTTAGATCCGCGTATGTCAAGAAATTTAAGTACTGGTAGTGATGATTCAAGACCACAAATTCCAGATCAACGTTCTTTACAGCAAGATCAAAGATCTGCAGCTCAGGATCCAAGGTCTCAACTTCAGAGATCTCAAGACCCTAGATCTCCAAGCCAAGATCCAAGACCCCAACATCAAGACCCAAGGGCTCAGAATAAGGATCCTCGATTCCAAGATCCACGTTCTCAGGCTAAGGATCCAAGAGCGCAACATCAGGATCCAAGATCCCAACATCAAGATCCTAGATCCCAACATCAGGATCAAAAATCACAACATCCGGATCAAAGATCACAACAGTTGGACCTGAGATTGCAAAATCAAGATCCTAGATCCCAGCATCAAGATCCTAGGTCACAAAGGCAAGATCCCAGGATGCGTAGATCCCAAGATTCAAATGATAGTGCTCTAACATTGAAATTAAAGAACATGTTATCAGACCCTAGTGATGCTCAGCGACCAGGTTTACAGAGAGCTGACCCCCGTGTATCGCGTTCAATAAGTCTTGAGGGGAGCGCTCAAGGCAAAAATGCTATGGAAAAATCAAAATTATCTAGTTTGTCAGATTTTCCCTCTCTATTGAATAGACCAAATCCTGATCAGTTTGGGTTACACTGAGAAATTGTGATGTGTTGAGTTGTGAAAGTGATTCGTAAATGATGATATACAGCGAATTGGTGTGGTACATGTACTTTGTAGTCATTTATATAATTGTGTAGCGCAGAGAAATAAGGTGCAAGTAGTAGGGCACTTTCAAAGTAACATAATGTCAATGTATCAAAATTATTCTGTGTTGTGTGTGCTGATGACTAGATGGTAATGAATGACATGATTATATAAAATAAGGTATTTTTTTATTACTGGAAATAATTGCTTACTTTAATTTGAAACCATAAATTCATCTAGCCAAACTGATAGTTCAATACTTATTTATTGCCAAAATATGTGATTGCATATAATAGATATATTACAAAATCTTTAAAACACACAGTGGTGTAAATTTATCTTTACAGATCTACATGTATTTGAAAACAGATATTTATGCTTTTATATTATAATTCATGTATATGTGGTTATCACCATCTGGCCGTTTACAATTTTTGTAATTAGTAAAGTGAGTAATGAGTGATTATGACTAGAATCGTAAACATTTCACAGGGGTACTATGATACTTTAAGATCACAAGTATAAAATGGATCCCCCAAAATGATGTGCCCTGCTTGCCGAAATCTTGAATTCCAAAATGGTCAATAAAATAACCTATTTTTTGTTCAAATTCTCCTATTCTACTGCATTTCAGACAGGATATTAAGTATCTGTGCCCATGTTAAACAGGGGTCAAAATTCGTGAAATTGGAACGAAGGCATTTTTTTCAAAAAATGCCACAGTAATTCCTTAGTCACTACGGCAGTTTTTATTTGCACTTAGGCAAAACTTTTAATTTACTTTCGTCACTACGGCAGTTTTTTAAACTGGGAAACTTTGACATACATATCGTTATTATTACGAAATTTGTCCAGAATTAGGTCACCAACACACCCTTAAATTTACGTACACCGAAGTCCATATGAATATCGTAATATGAATCCGTTTTATTTCTTCGAAATCAGAAGACCTAAAAATTCTTGAAAGTCCGCGAATCTGCTTTGGCTCAGCGACACGAAGATTCGTGCAATTCTATAATCCATATCCACGTGAATTCCACCAAATATAAGTATCGTGGTACCAAACTTGCGTTTTAAATGAATACTGCGCCGTTGAGGTGTTAAATTCTGATTCTAAAATATCCATAATAATACCGCAAATTGATTCTCAAAACACGACTTCACACCTGTGCATGGCATTATAATACTACATGCACATCGTGCGGCGGACATGTAAAGCCCTCTGGATTTTTTTTTCTTCTCACAACCCGTCTATATTTACTCTAACAATTATATTATATGCAATATTTTCCCGACCTAATTTTTTTATTTGGTCAAATTTTCCAGTAAATTATTCATAGCCTTTATATCTGGAAATTGTTTTGAACTTCTTAAATGATTAAATACACTAGACAACAAGCTGTGTGTATTTCCATTCTAGCCACCAGCATGTGATGTTACGGTAGAATTAGGTCAGATATAAAAATACAGTCACGAGAACTCAGGAAAGAAACAAAACAATAAATTCCTACTTTCGATTATGCCGTGGATTACGCACGTATACAACAGTGATTTTATTGTCAACATCGGCAAATTGCCGTCGTGATATTCTTAAATAAATTACCACGGCTAAATATGCCGTAGTTATTATTTATTTTCTACGGCAATTTCGCTAAATACTACGGCAATTGCCGCGGGTGTCGTCGTGAATTTTGACCCCTGGTTAAAATTTGCTTACAAAAGCCGCCATATTAGATTTTATGATGGTCTGCATAATTTACATGTATATTGTCATTCATTTGTATGCCCTTATATGCTTTCCAACTGTATATCCAACTGTTAAATTCGCTTGCGACATCCCCCATACTGGATTTCAATATGACAGACTGTTTTTATACATTCATTTGTATCTTAAAAATTATAAATGCTGGAAGCAAAATTCTTATGCCCTGCTGCACCCAGTTAGTATATTCGATTTCATATGCTGATAAAATTCATTTACAGTAGCCGCCGTATTGGAATTCAAGATGACCGCCATTGTATATGGCTTTCCCAATACTATGTTGAGATTTAGAATTATCAACTTTATGGATATATTTGGACATACTTACTACTTTGATTTCATAGACAAACATGCCATAGTAAATGTACCCCTGTGCAAAGTTTCATGCTTCACTAAATGCTTGAGACTTGTTGGGATTTTTTTATCTAGTCATAACTAGGATCTTTGTTAAGATTTAGAGTCATACATCAGTGTTGTGCAGAGGTTTTGAACAAACTGTTTTGAGATATTTTTAAAATCTTTGCTAGTTTGGTTAGGTTAGTTTTAAGATGGAAACTTGGGTTCTGGTTCTGACCATTCATCGAAAACATGTAAATTCCAAGTTTGTTACAAAATATTAACTCCAAAAGTCGATAGCCTACATCTTGATATTGTAATGAATGATATTTTTTTCATTTCTGAAAATATTTCCTTCTTTCATTGTCAGAACTCTTTAATTTACAGAATAATGCCTCTGCAGAGAACAGTGACTATTTGACTGATTGTTGTTGGTTAATAGACACCAATAACCTTATCACTTTATTTTCAGTATTAAATAAATTAAAGACCAATTGTCACTTCACTTACTTTTTAGACTAATGCCCATTACTTTAATAAAATTGCAAGTATTACACAATTTTCATATTACACAATATACAGAGATACTGATACAGCGAGTAGAAATACTCCCAAACATCATTATAATTTTCATCTGCAATATATTCAGCCCCAGTGAACACTCAAAAATGAACACTCAAAAAGACCAGAGGTGCTCTTGTACTACCCGAAGTTTGTCACCCTGCAATCTGATTAAAATACAGATGATTAACCAAAATTTGGAACTATAAACAATGAAACGAAATAGGATCTGTGTTTTAATCAGATTAGTCACCCTTGAACCATTTGATGAACTCCATTGTGAACAAAGCGGCACCTGGGCATATGATTTTGTTACCTGTCAGTACTGTTTTATTGATTATGCAGAACCTATTTAGATTTCAAATTCTACTCAAACAAACTTGTATAAATTACGTATGTAGTGAACATGATTACTTCCCTTTGAAATATCCACTTATACATGAAGGTAAAAGATTGTATAAAAATAATTTTAAATCGATTGTACATTGTAATTAAATTGATTTTAGAAATGAATTTTAAATTATTTCATGATTCTTAGAAATTTTATAAACATTTAATTTAATGTACCGTAGTTTTGATTGTCAGTATTTTATCTGAGGTTTTCTTCTAATTTTTACGGAAATTACAAACAATAGAATGTTGAAATGGCATTACCAAGTGTCATACCTACTTCGATTTTCCTGTAATTTGGTTTATATTATACTAGTGTTGGCTGACAAAACTGATATTCTAAATTTCAGCTTGATATGAGTAACAGTTCCTGAGTTATGACCTATTGAAATTTGGCTATTTTGGTTAAAATGGGCCTGCTGTCTGTTCCTATTCAAATGCCCGTAGTTCCGTAACCAATTGGTCAAAATTTCTGCATTGGGTATTGCTGGGAAAGCCATTCCACAAGGATTCCAATTTCCAATCAATCTAATTAGAACACAGATCCTGTTTCGTTTTGTTATTTATAGTTCTAAATTCTGTTTTACTAGTCTTTACTACACTAGGATCTGGTTGATGTGAGGGATTATCCAATGAAATGGTCTGTTACAGCGAGTTCTTGGCGTGAGGTGCATGGAACTGTGGGTATCCCACTAGAAACACCAATGCGGATTGGTTAATCAAATGTCTGATGTCGTAGTGTCAAAAGCCGCTTGTATGACCCCTGACCACTACAACCGGTCAGATCTTCATGTAGTGGATGCCAAGGAAAGTTTTTAAAAAAAATGAAACGAAATATAGATTTGTATTTTAATGCGATTGATTCCAAATTGGGTAAAATGACAGAAGTTTGATATCTGATATCTATGTTTGACTTGATTTTACAAATTAACCCTTGGCAGTTGGAATTCGATATTTCCCTCATAGCACACTGTATGGCGTATGCCCGTCTTCATTAGCCCAGGTTAGGAGCAGAACAGTAGGACGTTAAACTCCATTTCATATACACCCATTTTTTATATTGAGCAGAAAGCATTGTAGGGCCAATATATGAATGAAGTTAATCGCAAGTTCATGCCTGTCACAAGGTCAAGTTAAAGATCAAAGTAAATATCATAAAGTTATCACCCTTTAAAACACAAGTAGTCATATATAATTTCTAATTAGGAATCCTTGTGGAATTGCCCTTCCAGCAATACCCATTACAGCAAACTGGACCAATCAGTTACTGAGCAGCTAAAATAAGCATATAAACCAAATTTCATCACAATCAAAGGGGGTACAGTATTGGGTGATTTGACATGGATTTACCCAGTAATGTATTATTTATGTGAGCTCATTTAGTATGGATCAATATTTGACACAGTCATCATACATTTACATGTGTGTAATTGATAAAGGAGCAATATACTAAATAGTAGATTCTATTTCATTATAATAATTATTAAGTTATTGTAGATTTAAATTTTGATATTTAATCACATCTTATTGTCAGCTACAATACAATAATCAAAGATTGCCAGCCCCTTTTCCCTCGTTTATCTAACAGTGTCAAAATTTAATGGATACTATTCTTTTTTCCCTAATAGTATTAATTTCTGAATTGCTGTCTATAACAAATTTCTAGAGAATTTGTGTGTGAGTAGGCTACTTTGATTTTAATGTTTTTTCTGCCGCCTTTATGCTACATGTACTTTTGTACATACTTATTAAGGACTAAATTTGTATATTTGGCAATATACTTAAACTAATAATAGTCTGCTTTATACATGATAAATATGTATTGTATATTCATATTTCATCCAGAATCGTTATAGATAAAAGACAATACAAAATTATTCCCACAGTTTTTTGTACTGGCTGTGGATCTGGTGTAGATTCAAACCATTCTTAGAAATCTAGTTATGACAAGAATAAATTCGATTTGGCTACCTTTACTGTTGTAGGTGGAGGGTTGGGTGGTCTAATACGTGTGCTTTAGATCATAAGGTTTCTCATTGAGGCAAGTGGTGTGGTTTCGATTCCCTGCTTGTATGGGAGTAGTTGAGAAAAAGCTGCTGTGTGTGCATATTCCAGCTTTGCGTGGCTTTCATTATTGTCCCACGCCTTGCAAAGAAAGCAGGGGACTATTAAAATGGGTTCGTTCGCCCGTCTGTCTGTCTGTCACACTTTTTGGGACACAATAACTCTCCTTCTAATTGAGCTAGAACGCTCAAACTTGGTGTAGGTGTTTATTAGGTGAATGTCATGACGGTGTTTAAAGATGAGCATTTTCTGCTTAGGGTAAGGAGAGATAAGCTTTAGGACAAGATAACTCAGATGCTATCTAATAGAGAGTGATGAAACCTAGTGTATAGTTGATAATAAGTTTGATTGCTTGATACTTTTGAAAAAAAAAAATAAATAAATAAATGTGCTATTACATGTAATTAATATGTGTCATCTATTTATTTTGGGTTTTCGGCGGGGGGGGGGGGGGCGACATCAGCCTCACTGCTGGCTTGTTCAAATATATCACCATGCACCCGATTCAACTGAAGTTTCAATAGGAGTTAGGTTAGTTGTGTTAGCCGCTTCAAGAGGACATATACTATTAATCTATAATACATTTTATATTAATATGCCTTCTTTAATTAAGCGGCTAACTTTAACACACATGTACCGGTATTCTCTATGGAGAACTTTGACCAATCAAAATCACGGACGACCAAATGGTCCGCTTTTTATACGCCCACATTAAAATGTGATCGTACTGTATATTGTTGCTCCCGTCCGTCCGGCGTCCACGATTGCTTGTGGACGTTCTAAAGGTTAAAGTTAATATCTGATTGACTTTAAATTTATACACAGTTTTTAAGGTTATGAGACGAAGAATCCTATTGTTTTTCATCGATTTCTGATAATTACTGTCGCGCTCTGAAGTCTAAATTTAATATCCGATTGACTTTAAATTTATTCAGTGATTTAGGTCATGAGACGAAGAAGTCTAATGACTTTCAACGATTTCCGATTACTGCCATGGTTATGGCCCTTAATCACTTTGAAATATCTTGTGGACGCTCTTGAAGCTAAAGTTAATATCCGATTAACTTTAGAATTATACACAATGTTTAAGGTCATGAGAGGAGGGATCCTATTGATTTTAAACTATTTCTGATAATTACTGCCTGATTTATGGCCCTTGATCACTCTAAAAAAATCTTGTGGCCACTCTGGAGGCTAAAGTTAATATCCGATTGACTTTAAATTGATACACATTGTTTAAGGTCATTGTTAAAGGTTAAAGTTAATATCTGATTGACTTTAAATTTATACACAGTTTTTAAGGTTATGAGACGAAGAATCATATTGTTTGTCATCGATTTCTGATAATTACTGTCGCGCTCTAAAGTCTAAATTTAATATCCGATTTAGGTCATGAGACGAAGAAGTCTAATGACTTTCAACGATTTCCGATAACTGCCAGGGTTATGACCCTTAATCACTTTGAAATATCTTTTGGACGCTCTAGAAGCTAAAGTTAATATCCGATTAACTTTACGGGCGGGGGGGGGGGGGGTAGATGATCGAGTGACATTGATGATCAGCATGACTACACATGCTAAAATTGATTACTGTTATATCTTTCAAATTAACATTGGATGTACACTATATATATATATATATATATATATATATATATATATATATATAGAGAGAGAGAGAGAGAGAGAGAGAGAGAGAGAGCTGTTACGTAAATGGCATTGTTCGACGGGTGCGTCTCTTCACTGTCGACTATCTTTAAATGACCGCTGATTATCACCTTTTCTTCCATGGTTGGTTACATGAACGTGCCAAATAGGTTATTTTGGTCAAACATATTTTTGGAATTACACCGCGCTTATTCCCATCTGTATTTAGAAGCCTATCTGTATAGAAAGTTATTGAAAATCAGGAGACAACATACATTACATATATTAAAATCAACTGAAGGAGAAGATGACATATACTATATAGACCAAAAACGTCATTACAAAAATTTGGTCCCAAAACTAAGAACATAAGAAGGCAGGTCAGAATCTACGTAAGTGAACACTACTGCTCGAACAGTCAGAATTATCCTGGAGTGTAGGGCTGCAACGAAGAATCGATGAACCGTGATGTTTTAAAAATCCGCGATGCACGATACAATCAATGGCCGTATCGCGATTCGTTATCCAAATAATAATTTCACAAAAATTAAAATAGACCGATATTCCTTTAAATCTGTAAATAAGTCCATGAGGAAAATAACGTTTGTGTCTTTTTCCAGATCAGAAAAGCAACAAAAACACTGCTGTTTGTGAAAATTATGGAAATAATACTGAATGAGTGTTGGGCTTAACGAAACGATCATGAAATGGAGAAACATGTGATTAAATATTCGACTTCCGTTGGATCATAATCTCGCAGAATGTCTTCAAGTCTATTTACTCGTATTGGAGTTGGGACCTTTATGGGAGGATGTGCAGAAGGCAATTGGGAATAGGGAAGCACTGCAGGTGGAGGTAGCATACGTGGTTGTTGAGGGACTTGCGAAACTGGAGGGAGTGTTCCGATTAGTGGGACAGGAGTGGTAGGAAGGGGTGGGTTTCTGGATGTTCGACGCGTGTAGCAGTTGTGAGCAGGGTGACTACAGCTGCACAGGGAACATATGTGTGAATAGGTGCAACGGGGTAACTGGCAGCCAGAATTGTTGAATTTTAAGCAAACTCTTTGTATTTTTGATGTATTTGTTCTGGGCGTAAACTGACTAGGTCCACGCTGGCTATGGAGCGTAGAGGCCCGAAGTTAAAGGTCCGCGTGAATTTGGCTCCATGGAAGAGAGCTGGATTGTCGTAACAGACGAAATAGGGCATCGTAAATATTGAAAGCCGCAAGGCCAAAAACACTAGCCAGGTCTGTGACCAACCTATTATACAACAGTAAATGACTTGCGGCTTTTGGGCGTTTTGGGATATAAATGTCCATAAATATTATTATTATTATTATTACAGCATATTTATAGTGCACCCTTTTATATAACATGTTCAGGGGCACTTTACAAAGTGACAATGTAAATCACACATAAACAACAAGATTATGGGCATGTTAACGATTGTATACAGAGTCAGTTAAAAGCCTGATTAAATAAATATGTTTTAAGTTGTTTTTTTAAAAGAATACAGAGATGTACAACATCTTAAACTAAATGGTAGATTATTCCATAAAACAGGTGCTTGATAACTAAAAGAGCGCTGACCATAGGAGACTAGTTGAACAGTTTTGGGCTTTAAAAGTAGTTTATCTGATGTACGTAATGTTCGGCCAGGTGTATAAAGTTCTAAAAGATCTGAGAGGTAAACAGGAGCTAAATTATTTAAACATTTAAAAGTAAGTAATAAAATCAATTCGATATTTAACAGGTAACCAGTGTAAATTATATAAAACAGGAGTTATGTGGTCACATTTCTTAGTTAAAGTAACAAGTCTAGCCGCAGTATTCTGTACTTTTTGTAATTTATCTATAAGCTTTAAAGGTAAACCAACTAAAAGTGAATTAAAGTTATCTAATCGAGAAGTGACCAGAGAATTAACAAGTGACTTAGTAGCCTCTACAGTTACACATTTACGTATTTTACCTATATTTCTAATATTAAAATAGCACAATTTACAAATATTATTTACTTGAGCTCCCATAAGCATAAAACTATCAAAGATAGCGCCAATATTACGAGCAGAATAAGATGAAAATATATCACAATTACCAATTACAACAGGGGGGTTATCTTGTGCAGATTTACTTAATTGATGCCTTGAGCCTAATAACAAATATTCGGTTTCATCATCATTCAATTTTAGAAAGTTCTTTGACATCCATTTTCTAATTTCACTAATACAGTTCTCAAGTTGCAATTTTGATAAATTGAAAGAAGATGGACAATTAGGTGTAAATGAAATATATAATTGAGTATCATCGGCATACAAATGAAAGCTGAGACCATATTTTCTGACAATATCTCCTAATGGTGACGTATAGAGGGTAAATAAAATCGGACCAAGAACAGAACCTTGGGGAACCCCAGATGACAAAACAGATTCAGACGACGATTTGCAATTAACTAAAATACACTGTTTTCTACCCACAAGATAGCTCTCTTAAAGATTTAATGCAGAGCCACAAATACCGAATTTAAATTGAAGTTTACGTAGAAGAATGGAAGGGTCCACCGTGTCGAAAGTAGCAGATAAATCTAATAAAATTAAAAATGTACATTTTCTATTATCAATTTCCATTAAAATATCATTTGAAACCCGGGTTAAAGCTGTTTCGGTACTGTGAAATTGTTTATAAGCACTTTGAAATGGTTCATACAAACAGTTATCATCTAGATGGGCCTTTATCTGAGAAGCAATACATTTCTCCAATATTTTAGAAATAAAACTTAAGTTAGAGACTGGCCTGTAATTTTTAAAAACATTAGGATCTAGTGTAGACTTTTTAATTAAAGGGGTAACATAAGCTCGTTTGAAAACGTTGGGAATAGTAGCGGATGATATACAAGAATTAATAATATTGGTAAAAACTGGAATAACTTCGTCTAGACAGTCCTTAAGAACAGAAGTCGGAACAGGATCTAATGAACAAGATTTAGGAGCAGACGATTTAATTAGCTTTAAAACAAAAGATTCACTAACCAAGTTAAAATTTTCTAAATAAACAGAATTTTCTAACTTATCAAAATCATGAGCGTTAAAGAGAAAGTTTTTTGCCAGCGGTCAAGGGAAAGGGTATTAGACTTTTGTTTAGGGGAAATACTAGTAGTTAATGTGGGCAAGT